GCGAGGAAAATATGAGAAAACCTGAAGCTATATTTGGTTGTGGGTCAGATTTGGTGACTTGACACTCTGTCCGCTCTGTCACGTGATGTAAAATATTTGACCCCACACAACATGATGTCAGCCACAAACCATTTGCTTTGGGTACAGTCAGACTGTTTCTGAATGTCTCCTAAGGCAGTACATCCAGCGGCCCAAAAAATGGGCAATATGTTGTGGCTCATGAACTGCTTGTTCGTTGTCATAGTAACCACTTGTCACAATGCCAGTCAATCGGTAGAAGCGATGGGAGGCACGCATGGCCATGGGCGGATCCAGGGGGGGGGGGCACGGGGTCATGCCCCCTTGGGCTCGGACGGGCCCATGAGTTCGAGGGGGTCTATAGCCGGCCGAACAGGTGCGGTTTTTTAACACAAAACGCAACAAAACTGGGTATCTCTGGGCTTCCAGGCAACCATGAATAGTTATAAGCGAAAGAAAAGGGCCTGCGAGAAGTCAAAAAGATTATTCAGCAATTGAAAAAGTCGTGAACTGGAAATTTTAAGCCTCATTACACTATCTAGGGGCCCCATGCTGTTTCCTTGGGACCTACATGCCCAATTGCAGGATTATTACGATTGTTAAGGAGCATTCTACGTTGCCCTTTATTTCTTTGCATTTATTCGGAGGGCCCTGCGCTGTTGTTGGGGCCCATCCTGTTTACGTGCCAGGGCACTCTTGTCAATCATGGGTCCTTCCACGGAGTCTTTCCATTCGCCAGACAGGCTCTGTGAGCTATAGCCGGGGTCCATATATTAACGGGGTATTCTCGGTTGCTTAGGGGGCTTTTACGTGCGTCTCGGTTAAACTACCGACACACTTGCGACATGCCCATAGGTGCTCTACATTGGTCTAGGGCATTCCCAATTATCTGTCTCTGGATTAGGGCCCTACACTCTTGTCGGGGGCCCATCTGATGGCCTGCTGGGCACACTTAGCCGTTCGGGGACCCTTCACACTGGGTCTTGGGTACTTTTTTAATAGGGAGCCTTACGCTCTCGTGGGGGGTCTATCTGATAACCTGCTCGTGCACATTCGATTGCTCGGGGGTCCTCTACATTGGGCGTTGGGCACATACTGTTCGAATGGGGCCCTACGTACTTGTCGGGGGCCCCCTCTGTTCGCCTCCTCGGCCACACTGGGCTACTCGGGGGCCTGCACATTGGTTCTTGGTGTTTAAATTTAGGGCCCACTGCTCCCATCGCAGTCATCTGATAACCTGTTCGGGATTCACTCCACCCCTCTGGGGCCCTCCGCACCGGGATTTCGGTACTTCTTATTTGAATGGAGGGCATTACGCCCTTGTCGCGGCCCCTTCTGATAAAATGATCGGGCTCATTCGATCGTGGAGGACCTCTACGTCTGGTTTTGGGCACTTCCCTCCGCTTTTTCGGGGTCCATTCGGAGCCCTCTACATCGTGTCTTGGGTACTTTCTTTCTAAATTGAGCGCCCTACGCACTTTCCGGGGACTTTATCTGTTTATATACTGGGTATTGGTGCTTGCATTTAGGGCCCTACACTCCTGTCCGGACCACCTGATAACCTGCTCGGGTATACTCCATATTTCGGGGGCCCTCGCACTGGATTTTGGCCACTTCTTATTCGAATTGAGGGCCTTACGTTTTTGTCTGGCCCGTTCTGATAAGCTGCTCGGGCACATCCCATCATTTTGGGATATTTACATGGGGTCTTCGGTGCCTCCCATTCACATGGAGGGCCTTACGCTCTTGCTGGGAGCCCTATTTGTTAACTGCTCGAGTGTACTCGATCATTCGGGCGCCCTCTACATTGGGTCTTGGGTACTTCCCATTTCAATGGAGGGCCATACCTTCCTGACGGGGCCCTATTGCTAACCCGGTCTGATGCACTGGATCAATTGGGGGGCCTCTGCATTGGGTGTTGAATATTTTCTATTTGAATGGAGGGCCATAAGTTTTTTTAGGAACCTTCTTTGTTAACCTACTCGAGCACACTCGATCATTCGGGGGCTCTCTACGTTGGATCTTATGTACTTACTGTTTGAATGGAGGGCCCCACGCTCTTGACTGGGGCCCTATATGTTAACGTGCTCGGGCGCGCTCGATCGTTCCAAGCCCTACACACCACGTCGTGAGCATTTCTTATTTGACTGGATGGCCCTGTGTGCTTGGCGGGCCCCACCTATTCAGCTACTCAGGCCGGTGGCGGACGCGGTGGGGAGGGGGGGGGGGGGGGAGAGAGAAGGCACGGGCCATGCCCCATGGACCATGCCGATGGCATCTGAAGGCTCCGAAGGGGCTCATAACCGGCCAGACGGACGCAGTTTTCTTACAACAACAAAAACACAATAAAAACAAAAAAAAAACAAAGTTTCCTTGTAACAAAAACAAACAAAATTAGATGTCTTTAGGCCCACAGGCGACCAAGAACCATTGCTATCAAAAGTAAAGAGTCCATGAGTAAACGAAGCTCATTCTTCGCTGATCGAGAAAGTGTTGCTTGTGGGACATTTTGTGGCTCATTACGCTGTCTAGAGGCACTACGCTGTTGGCTGCCTGGCCCTATATGCCTACTCGTCGAGCCAATTTGATTGCCAAGGAGCTTTCCAAGTTGCCCTTGATCTCTTTGCATTTTCTCGTAGGGCCCAATGTGATATTGGAACACTATCTGCCTCCATGCCTGAGCACAGTTGATCGATTAGGTCTCCTCCACGGATTCTTCCCATTCGCCCGAAAGGCCCTGCACACTTTTTCCTGGGTCCCATATGCCAGGGTACACTCAGTTGCTTAAGGTCCCCTCATATAGGTCTCGGGTTCTTTCTACTTGCATGGAGGGCCTTGTACTGCTGCTAGGGCTCTTATGAGGTAATGCACGGACACACTCGATGCTCAGAGGCCTTGCACTTTGATCGAGGGCACGGACACGGACACACTCGATGCTTAAGGGCCCTGTACTCCCTTTGGTCTCATTTGCGGATGACTCTTTACTCCTGTCGAGGCTCGTGTTGTTAACCTACCCGCGCACTCTTGATCGCACAGAGGTATTAATTCATGGTCTTGGCTTCATACTCAGTAGATCCTAAACTCAGTACATTCATACTCAGTAGATCCATTTGTAAAGTTCAACACTTATCCGTTTGTCATCCTGCAACGGTCAACTGCCCGAAACGTAACGTGACGGTTATGCAACGCATCTTGGGACTCTGAAAGCATTCCAGGGCGACGTGTTGGACCTGGCAGGGTTAAGCGATTCTTTTAAAACAGCTGTACCAATGTGCACGCATCATTCGATCAGGCTTTGTTGTCTGGCTTTCTTCGAAACAACGGATTTTCCTGAGCGAAGGATGCAGCATGGTCCCTGGTCCCAAAAGGTGCCTGTAGCGGTGAATGTGTGTATGGCGTTGGGTACGATTAATCTTCGTTGTTTGTGAAACGCGTGAGCAAAATTGGCTCAACCGTACAACATCTGAATATGGCTTTCTCAATAGGAATTTGCCCAATCACGCTGCTTAAAACAAATGTGGTGGTAATCAAGTCGAAATTTGCTTCACATACATATTTGCGTTGGGATTTCCAGTTATTGCGGAGAATGCCTTGCCCAGTAATTACAACTAACCGCCCATGCAAAGTGGTGCGCGTTATTTTGTGTAGATATGAATGTAGCCATCGTGGGTTCCATTATATATATATATATATATATATATATATATATATATATATATATATATATATATATGTATAGAGAGAGAGAGAGAGAGAGAGAGAGAGAGAGAGAGAGAGAGAGAGAGAGAGAGAGAGAGAGAGAGAGAGAGAGAGAGAGAGAGAGAGATATATATATATATATATATATATATATATATATATATATATATATATATATATATATATATATAGTTCCATTGCTCACGAAATGAGTGCATTTTCTTATCAGCGCGCAACGATTGTACCTCATGATAACCAAACGACAGCAAACTCAACTGAGACCCAGGGGTGTCATGTTTTCAAATCGGCTGCGGGGGGGGTGGGGGGTGGGGGGCAGCTGGTAAGGTTGCCCTAACCAAGCCCAAAAACTGGACCACTAATATTTACACTTTTGGTGTCCAGGGCGAGCTAACAATTAAGCCCGCGGCACGCGCTCAACTTGATTTTCATTTGTGAGTTGCTCTTCTTCTCCCCTGGTTGTAAACACTGTTTGCGCGCTTGTTAAACAACACACCAGGTTCACGGAGAAATAAAAGGACAGCAAAAGAAACAAGTTGTCTATGCGTTAAACTCTTGTTTAGGGATGACAAGCTGTGCAGGCAGGTGAATGCAACCAGTCACAATTTACTTACAGGCTGCCGCATATTGTAGAGCTTTTTTGCCCCCCTCCCGGTATGACTGCTTGAAAACCCTGCCCATGAACCCCATTGAAAACCCCATGAAAAAATCTGTATTTTCTTGGTCCCGTATTCCCTTTTTGCCCATATTCATAAGAGGGGGGGGGGGGCTAAAGTCAGCACTGAGGCCTGCTCCCCCAAAATTATATAGTGAAATCCCTGCTGAGACCAAGGGTGAGGGAATGGGTGCGATCGGAGTGGCATAAAATAAAATGCGGTACGGTCATCCGGTCATGGACCTCACCATTCAGGCCCCAGCAAAAACCTGTGGTATTAAAAGTGTCAGCGACTCATTCTCCATGTGCAATAGTATACAGTGCGACTCCAGGACATGAATCCCCTTCTTTACAACGTAGTCCACTGGAGGCAAAACCCTGGTCTTTCGATGATTTTGTTTCCCTCGAATGAAGCCTTTTTTATCACCCACTTATCATTCGCGACCACAAATAAAACATTGCGTGATACTGCAAACCACTAAAGCATTTTTGTATTCCTATCCTCAGGTCATCATGGTCATCCTCCCTGCCTCAGTCCTCCCACAATGACGCACTCAGCATAAGGTCACCTGGGTGGCATCTTTGACACGTGCTGTCCGCTCGAAGCGCGTCACCACAGCTCCGGCACCACCAGCTGCTTGACAAACTCGGTGTAGTCGACTCGAGCTGAGTCAGAGGCCGACACCACGGACAACATTTCCTCCACCTCCTCCTGGCTGAAGTGCTCGCCCTCTTCCGTCAGAATGTGCACCAGCTTGTCCTGCGGTATAGTGCCCTCATCCTCTTCCTTCTTCTCTTTCTTGGCCGGTCCGCTCGGCCCACGAACGATTTCTTCCAAGCCCTCTTGCTCTTCGGCCAGCACCTGGTTTGTGTGATGGGCAGCATGTGAGCGATCACGTACACGCAGATTTTCAGCAGTCGTTATCTGGAATTGGCTTCTTTATGACATCGCTTTGGCTATACGAATTGTGCACAAGTAAACAGAAGGCGATTGGCACATCAGCGGGAATAATCACCCGCTTGTCGAAAGGTAAGTGCCAGTATTTGTAATAGGTTTGCTATAAGGGACCTCTTGCTGAACGCCAGGCCGGGCTGCGGCACCCCTGCGAGGATACCTATCAATATAAAACAAAGACTGCGTGCATGATGATGCAGGCGGGAGAGAAATACGTGAAAACGATCAACGGTTCATGAAATCTAAATTCTTCCTAACATTATCAGCTCCATGTTTTAGCAGCACCACCAAACTAACCTCAAACGCCTGCAGGAGTTGCTCGGCGGTGGCGGACGGATACTTCCTGTCCTCGACGCACTGGATGATGTAAGGCATGACGGTCTCCAGCCGGATGAGGCCCGGCTGGCCCTCCTCCTCCAGCTGGGTCACCATCTCCTGCAGGTCACTCTCGCTGGGGCAGCAGCCGACTGAGCGGATCAGCGTGCCCAGCTCGTGCACGTCCACCCGGCCCGTTCCCTCCGTATCCAGCGCCTGAGGGACACCATCGCAGCTTAGTAGCATGGTGCGAACAGGAACGTTGCAGCTGCGTCGCCGTCTCTTGAAGTCTGATCCGGTCCGTCCCTTCTGTGTACAGGGTCTGAGATTAGACAATATAGAGATATACCTCGGTGATATGTGCGGAGGCGGTTCCTTCATTCACAGGCACATGTGCTGACTTCAGCATTTAGCATCTAGGTTAAGTTGCATTTAACACATCATAACTCATTTTAGAATTAGTTCTGTTAACCTCTCAGAGTACGATACATCTTTTTTATGTCTAGTCCGTCTAGATCATCATCAGCAAGTGTCAGTGCTCATCCTAGCCACTAAAAGTGATCGTCAAAACACCAGTCCGCTGGTCCACGGTCGATTAGCTTTAGGCACATACCTGAAGCCACTGACCGGAAAGACCAATCTAGCGTGTTGATTAAGGCTTTATTGGGGCTCGGCGCCGGTCTCAGGCCGCGAGCAGCCCAGTACCAGGCACGGAGCTGCGTCATCCGTGGCAGTGTTCAGTCCGTTCGTGAGTCGGAATAGTGCAACGGATATTGGATCTGGTTAGGCGGAGCGCAGAAACAGACGCACGCGCTCCAACTTCACATCATTCTAGCATCGTCGAGTTTTCATTGCGCTTTGTTTACTTTTGTTTACGTAACTTTCACAGAAATTCCTTCGTATTTAAAGCCCTTTATAAACAGTCAAATTATGAAATGCAACGGGACTGACTACAAGTTCGCGCATGACTTGTCGTCCATAGTCATCCATATTGGCAAGGTCCCCATGTCGATCTAGTGCAGAAGTCTAAAGCAATACAGAAGCAACGTCAACCGGAAAATGTTTCCACAAACGGCGCTTTACGGTTACGGAAATTACAAACAATAGTTGTCTTTTGCGAAACTGACGCCGCTTGAGTGAGGCTTGAGCAGCTTGTTTGGAGCGGAATCAAAGTGATAGTCGTCCCAGATAGGTGGCAGCGTGATCTCCAAAACACACAATCCTCACAAAGCCGTTGTGTTTGGGCTCATCACTTCTCATCTCAACCAGTTTTGACTTGACTGGGCCTGTAGGTGGTGCCACACAACCACCTCTAGGTGTCCAGCAGGGAGCGCCATAAAACCAGCCCCAGGTCGCTAGCCTGCGGGAGAGCCACGCAACCAGCCCCGGGTCGCTAGGCCTTGCAGGGCCGCCACGCACCCACCCTCGGGTTGGCATGTGCTGTGAGGATCACCTCCTAACTACTGTCGAGTCGTTCTGAAGGGAGGGGGAGGTGTCACGCACCTAAACGCAGGCGCTCTGCGGGGGGTGAGTGCCGCACAAACTGCTCAAATTACAGGAGCTGCATGGAGGGTCATCCGGTCAGCTCTGAATCACAAGGCCCTGGGATATTTACACAGCCTGAACCCCGTCAGGGTCGGGCTGCAACGAGCCCACGCGCCACGCCCTGAGTCGCCAGTCGTCGGCCGCACGCTCACCTCGAACAGCTTCGTGATGCGCCGCTCTAGGTGGGCTGTGAACGGGTCGTACTCCTTCTGATCCCGCTGCCGGAACACGCTGCGGGCCGAATGGACCACCTTCACGAGCGCTGGCACCTTCTCTTCACCGTCGGCGGCGTCCCCAGCCGCCTCCGCTCCTTCACCAGGGGGCGGGGCGGTGCCCGCGTCGTCGCCTGGAGCCTGGATCGCCTCTGCACCCTCGGCAGGCGGCTGCGCGGCATCTGAACCCTCAACGGCTGGAACTTTGACTGCCTCTGCGCCCTCAGCGGGTGTATTCGCTGCCTCTGCACTCTCTGCTACAGGCTGGGACTGCTCCTCACATTCGACCTGAGCCTGGCCCTCCCCGCCCTCTCCCGCCGGAGGCAGCTGCGCCTGCTCTGCACGCTCTTCCGGCGTAACGTCGGGCTCGGACTTGACCACCGCCTCAGCCGGCTCGGTGCCGGCGGGGATCGCCTCGGATGAGCTCCCCTTCGGTGGTGTCAGCGGCTCTTCCTTTACCTTGGCAATGGTGGCGGAGGAACGGGTGGCTGGCGCCTGCCAGAACAACGAACGACGACAATTTCTCGCTGACCCCACGCGCGAACGCAAACAGGAGTGTTCAAGGGGGAAGCTTTGGGACTGAAGTGGGGAGGATTCTTATATCAACTAGCCTGAGGAAAACTGCCAAGTGGTCTAGAAACTCCTACTGGCTTCACTTCCTGCACACTTAAGCACGGATCTACACCCACGTTTACGCTGTAGACCCGTTCCATATGAATGGGTGTGGTCACACTCCGAAGAATGGGGCGGGAAATCTGGGCCAGTGGATAGCGCGGCTATAAATCACATCTTCAGCATAAAGGGTGCAAAACTTTCCAAGCCGGAGAATTGTCACCAGACTATCCAGTAGTCATATGCTTACGTTGTCAGGCAGATTAGGCGCGCAAACGAAGACGTAAAGCGCCCGCACGCGAGCTCCACACGAGCACTCGAGCTCCTGGCCACACAGTCAGTGTTCCTATGGCGGCTTGTCGTTAAATGAGTAAAAAAAAAAAAAACACAACGAACGAACAAAGCAAATGCGGGAATATGTCATAGTCGGGCAATCAGGAATAGTACCGTTGATGCACATCGTGCAGTGCCGTTGTGCACAGAGGATAAAGACGGAAGGGTATGTTTCCCTACCACTGGCTCACCTCGGATGGTGGAGCGTCACCTTGTTGTTCCTGCTCTGCACCAACATCAGCACCAGTGACGTCTTCACTCATGCTGGGATGAGGGGTTATGCATTCTGCAGCTTCTGGTTATTCGAACACAAAACAATTGTCATGTGCTTCTGAGTACGTTCAGCGCACGTCCGCATCAGTCTGTAGCGCGATACCAAGGGCGGGGAACCACGTGGAAGATGCGCCGCGTCACCACAGAATATCAACAAAGCAGCGCCCTGTTGCTATAGCAACGTCGGCTGGCTCAGCTGATGCATGGATGAAGTGTTACGAAAGCATGCCATGCGGCTGCAAATTTATGTAAGAATGCACCGATGTGCCTTGAATTCATTGAGTAAAGCAGAACACAGTGAGCGCACCCGAAGTCAGGTCACAACAAAGTAATCTTAAAGCCTTGCAATCAATGTATTTGCACTTGGAAGCGATGAGTTGCTAACTCTAGTGTATGCACTTTCCTGGCTTACTAGAATCGGATGCTACCAATCGTCATTTATTATCGCAATGCATCTACACCATCATACCAAACTAATTCTCGCTGATGGAGATGTGTGAGTTTCCCACTGGTTCCGTCGGTCGAGGTCAGCCGACCAGATATGACCGCGTCGTGCTGTGTGTCTGTAGCCCACCCGCCAGTGGGGCGGTGGGGCCACAGTGCGCCAGGAGGCGTCGGTCGGCAGCCCCACAGTCGAGCTCCCTACCGTCACTCGGCGGAGAAACGGACGGACCCAGAAGCCGGCGTTCTTAACGGGTTAAAGCCGCAGTGCGGCGACTGAGCACGCTACAACTTAGTCCTCCGGGTCGGATCCCAAGGTCACAACATAGCGGATTGTGGATCCGGATCAAGTGAATGTTTATACAGGCTAAACATGAAAATTGATTTGGATTCCACTGCTATGCAATATTGGCACAATTTGAAACCGAATATGCATGAAGGCAATATCGAAGCATTATTCCTGTATATGGCGTCTTGAACTGATTCAGAACAATCGCGGGGCGGCCACCAGCCTCACAGCGGCCAAGGCTCTGCCAACAGGCAGCGTTTTCAAGGATTATTCAGGTTTTAAGTCACCTCCTTTCTTGAGAACGCTTGCCTATTGATTTCAAATTCAGCAAAGTTATGAGCACTCATACTTCCGTGCCCCACTGGTGGAAGCCCTGGTGACTGGATGTGTTTTCACACATTTGGTGGGTCCAATGGGCTATCCATGGTTTTATTCGGGACTTGAGGCATTCATGCCACACATAAACTAAACATACTAGAGAAGGTGACATCAGATGGCGAGCACACAGCTGAATAAAGCCTAGAAATTGATCATTTATACATTACAAGTTCGGCTGGTCCTTCATGGACCGATTTAAATAACAGCAAGTTGTTCAGTGCATTAGCGGGGAACATTAGCCGCACAGATAAGACAACATTATCAGCCTTATTCCTCGGAAAAAACCAGAATGGAGACATAGTCAGGTTAATATTTCGGCAACATGCCTTCCTCGAAACAATGGCAGAAGTGAACTCAGAATTGCCTGCCGACGATCCTGCTCGTTTTGTCAGGTTTTTTTTTTAAAGCAAGCCACAGTTTTCAAAAGACACCAACATCCAGAGGATTTAACAAAGAGTGATTGCCAGCCATTACCAAGATACAGTGCCTATTTAAGAATTAGAATGCCCGGACATACGTGTACATGCAAACGAATTCAAGCAAATAGGCATCACGCATCACACCTCATTTGAACATGCAGTCGAGTTGAACTAAACGGGTATCACACACCGCGCACCAATTATACATGCAAACGATTTCAATTGAACAGGCATCGCACATCAAGCGTCAGGCATCACTTACACAGGCAAACAATTTTAAGCTGGCACACATCACACATAGAGGCACATATCACGTTCGCATATTTGGCCATGATGAGCCCTGTATGTTAAGATTTGGTTATCGACTTTTATAACAATAGATCCACTTCTTTTCCTGTCTACTATATAATAGTGAATTTATTCTTAGAGCATTTATTTTTTGAAAGAGCAAGCCACAGTTTTCACAGAACATCAGCATTCACTCTCCCGCTGCCGTAGCTGGAAGCAGCAGCTGCTGCTGCTGTTCCAGAAGCTGCTGCCGCTGGAAGTATGAGTGCTGGGCACTCGCTGGACAGCCCCGCTTATTATGACATATATTAGAAAGGTTCACTTACTTTCCTGTATATTATATAATAGTGATTGCATTCTCATAAAAAGTTGGCGACCAAATCTTAGCCTACAGGGCTCATCATGGCCAATTTTGCGAACGTGATATGTGTCTCTATATGTGATGTGCGCTAGCCTAAAATCGCTTACATGTGTAAGTAATGCCTGACGCGTGATGTGCAATGCCTGTTCAGTTTACATCGTTTGCATGTATAATTGGTGCGCAATGTGTGATGCCTGTTTACTTCAACTCGACTGCATGTTCAAATGAAGCGTAATGCGTGATGCCTATTTGCCCGAGTTCGTTTGCATGTACACGTATGTCCGGGCATTCTAATTCTTAGATAGACACTGTATCTTGGTAATGACCGCCAATCGCTCTTTGTTAAATTCCCTGAATGTTGGTGTCCTGTAAAAAGTGTGGCTTGCTCTTAAGAAAAACTGAAAAATCCAGTGGAGCCATCGGCAGGCAATTTTGAATTCACTTCTGCTATTGTTTCGAGAAAAGCACGTGGCCGAAATATCAACCTAACTATATTTCCATTCTCCATTTTTCCGAGGAATAAAGCTAATACTACTGTTTCATCTGTGATTTAAATAACTGACTTAATTCGGTTCACCGGGCTTAGACCGGCCTTTTTAAAAAATGGACTCTGAAAGCAATTCGGAAACGTGCCTGGTGAGTAGATTATAACACGCTGAGTCCTATTGTAGTATTGTACGTAATCTGAAAAGTTAACGGATATCGCCGGTAAACCCAGTGGTTTTGCTTGCGGAGACCACCACTGCGCCATCCATATTTGTTGTTTACCTGCGTTGGATACCAAATGATAGGAGGGGTACAAACAATGCTTTTCAACGGCATCGATTATTGGTGATTCCTGCTGCATCTCATATTGTGTCGAAAGATTAAATCGATTTTCCGATGCGTTGATAAGCCGTCGCGACCACATCTTGTTTGATTCGATCAACAAATACCATTCGGTGCGATTCACGTGAAATCCGCCTGAATACACCTCCGTCCACCCAGGTCACGTGCGTCCACGCTGCTCACCGCTTTACATACGACTCGCTGGACAGCCCCGCTTATTTCCGGTTGCCATGCGACACGAGCTCATGGTCGGCTCCTCAGCCCTGAAACACGAAGTGTTGCAGGCATTGGCGCCACGTTTTGGCCCGACGACCCCAGGACCACGAGACGGGGCGCTCAGTGACCCCAGGACCACGAGATCGGACGCTCAGTGATCCCAGGACCACGAGACCGGACGCTCAGTGACCCCAGGACCACAAGATCGGACGCTCAGTAATCCTGGGACCACAAGGCCGGACGTTCAGTGATCCCGGGACCATACGACCGGACGTTCAGAGTGACCCCGGGACCACGAGACCGGACGTTCAGAGTATGCGGCCGGCTAAGGAGGCGGAAACGGCCCTGCTCACCAGGAGACAAGCAGAACACTCGCGGACGTGCATAATGACGTCATACGCGCGTGGCGCATGTGTGTGACTTTTGTGCTGGGACTTATTAGCTTCCCACTAATTATGTTTTGCAGAACTGCGTCACTGTTCTCGCTTCGACGTGTCACTTACCGTCCGACACGTTATTCACTCTGCTCACATTTCGTAAAACACCCGTTCTTATTGTTTTGACGGGCTACTTCACCGGCTGCCTATTCAGGCATTATTGACGGTAGCACCATGGGGTGCTTGCTTTGTCAATTATATAATAGTTTTCATCATCCATGCGCACTTACCGCTGCCTCCAAACCCTGTATATTCTGTTTTTTACTTTAACATTATATTAATATAATATGGTAAGCGCCTTTCTATTATACTGACTGTCATAAGCATTGCATGCCATTGTGGTCTTAATCCCTATGCGTGATAGTGCCATGGTGATCTTAAAAGTTATATGACGAGTAATCAAGCAGGAATGACATTTGCATTCTTCATCGAGAACAACTATCTAACTTGCCACATGCGTGCCCCATATGCTGCAACGTCTGTGCCGTTGCTCAAGCCCTGTAGAGAGCTGCATCTTATCGAAGTTCAGCAGCGTTCGCACATATATACTTCAACATGCCTCCCTGTTTGTTAAAAATATAACTCATGATTAAAGATTTGTTACACATCAATGCAGTTCCACCGCACGATAATGTGCCTGGTGTCATGTGATTTGCCATGTACCCAGAATGCAGTGCGGTGAACTACGACTCCAAGCCACGAAGAATCCCAAACTTGCGGACTGAGTGCTTCTAGTCCATCGATCACAAGACAAGGTAGCACTGAGAAGCGTCATCCCTTTGCCGTCTTCATTCTCTGAATTGTCTAACGAAATTATGGCTGCAGCGCTGGCCGAAGGAGGATCCGTGAAGGTCCCTTTGCAAGGTTGCCAGGGAAACGCCTCGACTCGTGGGCCCCGGCTGGCTGAAGTGTTGACCACTTGCCAACTCCCAGTACCGGCCGAGGGTCGTTTCCTGCTTGCAACAGGCGTCTGTAGAAAATTGCACACCCTCTTCTGACCCGTCCTCGTTCAAGCACGGGATTTGCCAGGAGCTGGCAGCCTGCCAGTGGTTTCCGCTGCGCGACGATGTCCTGTGCGTCGACACGTCTGCCCGCACTCATCGTCAGGCTCTCGGTGACCTTTTTAAAAGCAAGGTTTTTGCACATGTAACACGGTGGGTGTGTCGAATCCGTTGCAAGGCAGATTTGTTACGCAGCAGAAATGGTGCTGCCAGTGAAAGAGCACCACCTGTCTCCAAAGCTGTGGACACCGAGTTCACTGGATTACGCCGGTCCCTTCGCAAGCTGTGATCAGCAAAGGAGAGTCATTGTATGTTGATTTGACGACTGATAACGTACCACTGTTTCAGCTGTGTCGACTCTCGTGTGGCTGCTGGGATC